TGGTGATCTACCGTATCGTTACTTTATTCTTTAAACTGAACACGGTTCCCATCAGCTTTTATTCAGTGATTCATCACTTCCTGTCTCTCTGCTCAATGAACGTGACGCTACAGGTGAACTTTGGACACATTTTAAAAATGAACATTTGAGCTGATTTTTCTTCTGGAGACAGAATCTGTAGAAACAAGACTAGCTGGTTTAATTTAGCCCAGATTTAGACTCAGGTCTATTACTGAGATCACCTTGGACTGAGACACCCAGCTGAGCCTGTCTGCAGACCATGAGGCATGGCGACTGTCTCTGAAGCTCACCTTTAAAGAACGACTCTCCTATCCGCTGTAAAAGCCAGCGTTCCATGACTGGATAATAATGAGCTCTTCTCTCTACAGGCTTCTGGAGTGGCTTCCAGATGTGCAGGAGGATGTGGGCTGGATGCGAGAGCAGATTCTGAAGATTCTGCAGCGTATTCTCCGCCAGGCTTCCAGAAACTTTTCCCAGCATGTATCTGCTCGGTAAATAATCCCCTTCCTAAGGTTATAGCCTATAGTTGTGTTCGGACATGTCTGCATACATCCCACTGACAAAGGCTGCTTCTGCTAGCAGCTCTGGATCTCAGTAGATTTTAGCCATTAAAGGATGGAAAGAAAAATGACCAAATTGGTGCTTATCTGCACATTTAGTTTTATTTTAGAGATAGACAGTAAACAACCTATGATGCAGTTATAATGTGTGTTTATTTCCAAACATTTGAGCTGACTTTTCCTCTGCTCTGATAGGCTGTTCTGCCACCTGGAGCTGCACCATTACCAGTCCCTTCCATCCAAGTCTAGCTCCACCAGCCTCTTCCCTCTGTGGATGAACAGCGGCGGCTCTTCAGTGCAGGATGTCTTTGACCGATACAAGAACCGGCTGCTATCAGGGGTTTTCTGCATCGACATGGACCTGCAAGGCTCCTTCAAAACCGGAGCAATACCCCCACACACCAACCGCCTGGCTAGCTTTTTCCTGCAAGACTTTGCAGAAGGCAAAGGCTATTTCAACAATCCTCAAAGTGGCAAACCTGCTAAAACGATGAGCAGATCCAGGAGCTTTTGGTAGGCTGTTGCTCTGATCGTACGACTGATTCAGGAATAGTGAAAAACTCCCACTGAAGCTGCAATGTTGATTTTGCATTTAAAATGCCATCGACTTCTCTGTGTAGTGGTTGGAAACGGTCCTGCAGGACTTTGAAAAGTATTTAAACTTGTGTTTGTGAATAACTGAATGGAAAAAAAAATTGCACATGGTTTCACTTTTTTCATTTCACCACATAGAAAAACAAAAACTGTCCCTGTGAAAGAAAATAACCGCCACAATTTGATGATACAACGACAATTTTGCTGTCTGGAGCATGCATTATGGAGTACATAAATTATTATTATTATTATTATTACGGAAGAGGATTAGGGCCACTGAAAGAATAAAATTAAGTTAAATATTGTTTCAGTTTAATATGGAAAAAAAGTCTCAGAATTCCATTTTTTTAAAGAAAAAAAAATCAGAATTCTGAGATTAAATTTAGAATTATGAGAAAAAAATCAGAATTCTGAGATTAAATTTAGAATTATGAGAAAAAAGTCAGAATTCTGAGATTAAAGTCAGAATTCTGAGATTAAAGTCAGAATTTTGAGATTAAAGTCAGAATTCTGACGTTTGGCATATTAAAATGAAATAAAATAAAAGAATCATTCAACTTTCTTTTTTTTTTTCAGTGGCCCTAATCCTCTTCTGTATCAAATGCATGCCACACTTTGCAGATTTGTATTAGTAAATCCTCTTAAGAAAGAAAAAATGTATTGTTTTGCTTTCAGTTTATAGATACATTAAACTGTTTTATTCTTCATAAATTTAAGTTAAACTAAACTGAGACTTGTTTTACAACATCTAAAAATAGATTTTTAAGAATAGATTTTGAAGGCGCTGTTATTCACTCAGTGGGTGTTGGACGATTTGCACCAATGACTGCCTCTGAAATAAGCCATTAGCTTTTGCAGTCAGGAAGTGTTACATCAACAGAGGCACATTTACACTTTGCACAGGTTCACAGTCGAGCTTAACTTGAATTACAGGAAGTTACAAAGAAAGAAAGAAAAAAAGTGGATGTTTTAAGTTGAAGACTGTCAAAGTGAAGCAGCATTTTCCTGCTTAGTTACTCACAGGAAGTGCAGGACGAAACACATTAGAGTCGGTTTGTTTTTAGCATTTACTCCACTTTTGTGACGCAATTTTCAATGCACTATGCTTTAAAAAAGGCTTACTTTATTTGTTTATAATAAATGTCATAATGTAAATGTATAAAACTAATTAATATGTATAAAAGAAAAGACTTTCTATGGTCACGCTCGTTTCCAAACGTGTTTTTAAATGATTTTTCATGTAATCTTGCAGATATCTTCAGTGTTTTTTGTCATCTGTAAGCCACCATTTTTTTTTCTGAGCTGCATATTATCTACTTCTGTAACCAGGCTCTGTGCATCACGCTTCCTTTTAATGAACCTCAATGTAATGTTCTAAAATTGTCACCAGATGTCATTATATTTACAGTTTTTGATCATGAAATAAACTGGAACTCCTCAAGCATTTATTCTTACTGTGAACAAGCAGACCCAGCAGATGCATAGACCATAAACCATCCCAGTTTATTATAAAACTGCTGCTTTCACTGCATGTGGCTCAGAACACATATGAACTGTAACTAATGAGTCACATTGAAGTAGAAAATTAGAAATATAGAAAATAAGATTAAATTGTTGGCAGATGTTTTATTTATTTTATTCACAGGTTTGGACTGGATGTCATTTCTCTGACCTCTAAAACCACTAAAGGTTTGGATCCCAACACTAAATATTTGTGGCTTTTTTAGCAATTTGGTTATTCGAAAAAAAAATTCTAAGCACATTCTTCTTTGCTGAGCTGATATTTAGTTTAATTACAAATAAATTAATGCAATTTGGGAGGAAGCAGAAAATATGCAAAGTATTTGTTTTCGTATCCTGTTTTTCATTTCATTCCTTTTCTTTGTTGTTTTCTTCGGTTTTATTTTAATAAGATGAATAGTTATAATATTAAAATGTTTCAGCTACATCCATCTGTCCAGAGCCATGAAAGTTCAAACCTTCTGTAAAAAAATAAAAAATTAAGAAAGGAATGTGAATCAGTGAACACCCAAACAAAAGAAAATTAGCGAAGTATAAAGCAAGTTTAAATTTTAAAAACTTATGTGGTGCTCATATTTCCTAAAACTAAACTACATTCCTAAAAATTCAAGCATACATAATCAGCTTTTTGTTTTTGTTTTAAGCTTTAAATTATGAATCAAAACATAAAACGTTTCCAGTATTGTGTTAGAGATACAGCAGTATAGGATTATTCAGCCATTTCATTCATTTTTGACTGATTAATATTAAATATTATTCATATATAATATCAATCAGATTGCAAAGGTTTCTTAAAAGGAGATTTTTTTTTTTGGTCTTTTTAGAATTTCAACCGTGGGAAACTTAACTTGATTCAGCCATAATAAAAAATTCTTTATGATTATTGCAATCAGCCTTACAAATCTGATAAGGTAAAAAATAAAATAAGAACATCAATCATTAAGGTAAAAGGCAAGCTGTAAATATATTAATCTAAACTATAGCAACCAACATTTATCAACAAAAAAACCCCCTCAAATGTTCACATTTAAAAATTTACAAAGCAATCTTCAGCAATCCCTCACACTAAGCATGCTTGTAGCGACAGTGGAGAGGAAAAACTCCCTTTGAACAGGAAGAAACCTCCAGCTGATTGAATCGACTCATTGACTCTTCAGCAATCCCTCACACTAAGCATGCTTGTAGCGACAGTGGAGAGGAAAAACTCCCTTTATTATTGCTGATGCGCTGAAACAGTATCCAACTCAGACTTAGCCCATCCAGAACTCAAGTGGCAAACTTTCCGCTTTACTTGGTTTAAACTCTTAAAATCGTTTGGTGATATAAACGTTTGCAGCCGTAGATTAGGAATGTACGTCCCTGTTGGTTTCACAGTGAGAGGATGATCCACAGTAACCTCTCTGTCTTTGGCAGGCGTCCTTCTGGGAGGATGCGGAGACGTGTCCATCCGTTTCCGTCCTGCGCTCGTCTTTAAGGAGTACCACGTCCACATCTTCCTCAACATCTTCAACGACATCCTGGCTCTGAACAAATAGATCTCCGTCCCAGCGGAACCTGACTGGATCTACATAGGACCCAATAAAATGGAGGGAGGGAGGGAATCAGGCCGTCACCAGAAGCACAATGAACACATCTCCTGCAAACACATTTAAAACTGGAACTTTCTTTGGACTCTAGAGCTTCTTTAACGTCTTTTTTCTCACTACGTCGTCCAGACTTTGTGCCAGAGGAGCCATTTTCAAGCAGAAGATGCTCCGTAGAACTACATCGACTGACCTTGTTCAGCTGGATGGATGTTGTTCCCCAGAGTCGGACCAGACTGTCAGTAAACACCAGCAGCACATGGACACGTTCTCGCTAAAGAAGCAGATCTACATGAACTAGATCCGCCGTCTTTCTATTCGCCCACTTTGGCCTCATCAGGCCTTTAATGATAGTTTCACATTCTTAACTCTGCTCTACTGTTAGGACTTCAGTCCCGTTAATTAAAAGCAATGTTTTCTGGCCCCTGAGGGCCCCATATCTCGCCCTGAGGGGCCGGATTTTGCCCGGCAACCTTGATCGTCCTGTTTTTGGTTCTGTGACGGTTCTGACTCTGGTCTTAAACCAGGAAACAGAGCAGAGTCTGTTCTTAGTCTGCATGGGTCCGATAGATGAAGGTAAAATGTTGGATCCAGTAACGTTTTCCCGGCTGTAGATGCATGATAATAATGCCCCCCCCCCCATCCCAAGCATGAAGGAATCCTAACAGATGAAAACTGATCCATCCAATGATCCCTGCCTCACGGATGACGGCGAAATCCGATCCTGAATGCAAACGGTAAGAACCAAACTCCACGCCCGCGTGTGGTTTACTGATGCCAACGGTCCGTTGGTCTTACTGGGAAGGACTTTGTTCATCCCAGGAAACCTGAATCCTAACCACACTGTGACAGAGTCAAAGATCAAATGTCCTCAAACAGTTTCTGCCCTCTGGGCTGAGAGCCAATCAGCTGCAGGGAACCTGCAGCGAAAGCATCCGAAAGGATTATTCTTTAACGCCTGTTTGAATTTAGGTCTCCTTCATAATGTTTCCTTAACACTAATCCCATAATCCAGATTAAAACTCTAAATGCATTAAAACGGAAACATTTATGAGCGCTAACCTGCCTTGTTTAAAGATTTTGTTTGTTTTTTTGTTTCGATCCATTGGTTTAATTGTTTAAGTTCACTGGGAGGAGGCCCTGGGGTGAAATGTATGTGTCCACAGAAATGCATGCTGGGTAAATCTGAACCATGATAAAGGCAGGAGAAGGAGCGACATCTGTAGCTGAGATGATGGAGGATCGCTCCACTTTTAAAGTCTGCTTCAGGGGTTTTTCCTCCGGTGACCACTAGAGGCATCCTGGAGCGAATCCCCATGGAAATGTCTGCTCTGCAGAGACGCCTTCACAGCCGGCTCCGTCCAACATGGCCTCAGCATGAATGAAAACAAATGTTTGGGTCAGTCGGACAGGTTTCCTGTAGAAGATCAGACGATCCGTCCCTGAATGTTTAAAGGAGCTCTGTGAGGAATGTGAGCAGCTTCATTTAAAGCGTAACTACAATGAATCTTATCTCCCGCTGTAAATGAAAAGGATATATAGTTATAAACATTAGTATGTTTGATAACATTGAGTCTTAATGTAGCGTCTTATATCCACAGGGTCGGTTTGGGTCACATGTTTACTGGCTGATGTGCAGCATGGTGGTGGTGACCACAGCAGCTTTAAACTGTCTCTATAATAACCTCCTCTTAAACCAGAAAACTGACTACATGTGATCTGAAGTATTGATGTATTATTTTTGATGTTTCTAATAACTGTGGTCTATAAACCCTTCTGTCCATGTACTGTGACAAATAAAGATAATTTTAATAAACACTTGTGTTCTTGTGGATGTTTTTTTTGGACCTCAGAAAAATAAATATTTAAAGGAGCGATGTCAAGTTCTATTAGTATAAAATAAAAAAACAAACATGTTAATGTTAGAGTAAAGCAAGCGTTCTTCATGGTTTGCTCGGTCCTTTTTGAGCCTGATCATCATTTTTTGCACCAAGTGCAGCCGGCAGACTGAGCAGCATAGATCAAAATCAAACCTCTAGATAAAAAAAACAAACATCACAATGTCACCATCATCCCAATTTATTAAAACATAAGCTTTTAAAGGGAAAGTCCGCTCATATTCAGAATTCAAACTTCTGAAAGTAATTTAAATATGAAATTATTAAATACTGTTTGATAAATGTTTTTAATTCAGAGTAATTTTCATGTGAATGTGCTTTACTGGAGGCATCCATTGCTCTGTTCGAAAACCTAGGACGCGTCCTTAGAAGACCGGATTCTGGTCTGGTCGGATTCCAAGAGTCCTCGTTATGCGGCCTTAAAATGCGTCCTTCTGTTTGCCCGATTCGAAGGACGG